TTTATTAACCATTTTGTTATGATATTTGAAATCATCTCAAATTTTTGAAAATATTGGACATCACACCTTAGGTAATACTTGCCTATTAAAATATTACTTTTATGGAAAAATTAAATTTGATTCCAATAATTTCAACTTATAGAACCTTTACTTCTTGTAAGCAAAAGGCCTTCCTCAATTTGCTTGACTCCAGTATAACATTACAATATATGGCATAATATTCCTATGAAAAGTAATACAATTCTTCATTTTATCTAGTTATTTAGCCAATTTCTTTTTTTTCAGATTGTCCAAAGTATCATCTGGATTCCAGATGCTACCTACTATATTTATTAAACTCAGTTATCCCTCGATATGCTTTAACAAACATCGAGAAATATGTAAACCGGTATTATAGAAACAGTCAGTGTTTGTGCAAGTCCACACCCTGAGAAAATGATAAAAGCCAACTCCTGGAGCAAGCTGAAGGAACAGCCCTCCTCTAGTCAGATCTAACTCCACCCTTCTCCCCAACAGAACTTCAGATAGCTTTCATTATCTTCAGTCTTGGTAAGAAGCAGTATTCAGAGAGGAAGATGAGAAGCTGGAATCTTGATTTAAGTTTGGATAAGGTAAGGGATTGAGAACTCAATCGTTCACGGTCTCCTAATAAAACTCACTTCGGTGAGGAATATTACTGTGACGATACTGTCTTCTGACCGTCGAGGACCTTCCACCGAGAGCTTGTAGAGATAATACAAAGTTTCTGGAAACTGTGGAAATTTAAATTCGCAGAGAGTTCTGTAAAGAGTACGAGGTGCTGAATTAGCAAAGAAGAGGAAAACAACACGTTCTGTATCAGCAAATGCTAACAGTCGTAAAGAAAGGATCATTATTCTCATATCTGGTACCTCTCAGATAAAAAGAAAGATACTCTCTATTCCCTAAATAAACTGCAGCCCCACGGTGAATTCTACACAGACTCTGGGGAATTCTATTAATACACACCTGGATTCCTGTCAACATCTCTTTGCGCGATGTCACTCCTCACTCCTGTCTCTCCCATCCTTTGCTGTAGAACAGAATGCCCTATTTTAATACAAGCTCCCATTCATCCTTGACCAAGGGAGAGGAAATAAAAATCTAGTGCTCAAACCAAGATGGGTGTGTGCAGGTCACTTTTGTGGCTTTGGACTAAGCTCTTCCTTTGAACGATCTAACACAGAGGAGAGTTTGGGAGTACCCCAGGTTACTCAGGAGAAGAGCTTGTGAGCTCTGATTCACTAAGCCGTTCTCCATAACACACGTGGGCAGTGGCCAGGCTCTCAGTCGTCCTGATGTGGGGACCTGGATCACATCAGTAGCGGCAGGGTTGGGAAGGATGGTGTAACCAAGTTTCCATTTTGAGACTCCAGGCTGGCCTTCCAAATCAGTGCTTCTCAAACTTTAATGTGCATACAGATCATCTGGGTATCTTGCTACACTGCAGATTCTGATTCAGTAGGTCTGGAGAGGGCCATGAGATTCTGAATTTTTAACTCCCAGGTAATGCCATTGCTGCTAATCTATGGAGCAGACTTTGAGTAAGAAAATACAAAGGCACTTCCTAGATGTCCTTAGATAGAGGGACACCTAACTAGTGGCTACTTGTAGCTGTACTACATTTTTATACATGAATATGTGTTCCTGAAATGTATGTGCAAATCAGATGCTGTTTTAAAAGCATCAAGGGCCCATAGACCATATAGACTATACTTTCTGGTTTAGTCACAGCTTCCAGTAGTCTGTTATATTGTCAAGACCCTGTATCTTGAATCTTGATCAGAAAATCTAATCTCGATAATCAGAAACTTGATATTCAGTAAAGAACTAACTAGAAAGACTTCTTTCCAGTAGAAGAAAATTGAAAGTCCTCTTTCATTATACTTTCCCAAATTTATTTGAGTCATGAGCATAGGTTTTCATCAGACCGACCTCTTTAAAGTGGGAGCACAGTCTAAAGTGGGAGCACATCTAAAACTGATGCCTGCAGAATAGGAATCAGGTAACACCAGAGGGGGAAGAAATGAATTCACCTCTAGTTCTCTGTATCTGAAAGAGAAACCTGTCCTGCAGAGGGAGGGTGTTGGGTATTTGTATCATCAGGTAAGAGGGCAAGGAAAGTGAAAAACATTCCAAAAATATAAACCCCTTAAAATAATTGAGGAAGTGGAAATCAAATGGCAATTCAGATCATTAAGGGAGATTTATAAATTGGAGTAGATGCCATGTGCTCCCACATGGCTTGCTTGAAGGAGGTTGGAGAAGGTGGGATAGAGACAGAGAATCTTACCCAGAGCTCCCTGTTCTTACCTGGCAATAAGTTGGACCCCATGCTGTTGATACAGTGCTTGGGAAAACTGGTTCCAACAATTCTTTTTCTTTAGAGCAATATCCACCTCTTGCAGTCCAGAACAATTCAGCAGAGCTCTCAGGGCATCCTGGGCATATCTAAGGTCCCAAAGGAGAACAGAATCATCACCTGACAGTGACTTCACACAACTATGCATACAAGATTTGCCTTTTCATCCCATCTTGGGCAGAATATAGGTTTGGAGAAAGGGGATATCTCAAAGGAAGGAGATTCTACTATAAATGTTCTTCATCCTCCCTGATTAACAGTACGTGGGATAGGGGGCTAAACTGAAAGTGTAGCACATAAAATCTAGGGTTAATCACAGAACAGCTTATTACTTTATTAGCTTATTTGTGAGAGATGTTCACTGATGCAATGCCTTGCTAAAGATGTCCATTTTCTTCCGTGGATGCCTTAAATAAATAGGATACATTCCCATCTACTTGATCGATTTGGCATATGTCTGCTTGGGGAACAGGGAGTGGATTATATACCTTAATGGGACTGATTGTGCTTTAGGGCTCTGCCTGGCTTAAAGTCTACACCACACAAGGGCAGTGTAGGTAAACATTTCCCTGCAGGATGGTGAAACCAACTATCTATTGGGCAAAAGGGAGTTGCCAAATTTCTCCCTATGTGAACAGATGACTGCATGTTGTCATAAATCCACACATCACATGCTAACCACAAAACTTATAGTTCACAAAGCACATTTGTGCACACCATTTTACATGTACAATAACTCTGAGAGATTACTGTCGGAGATTAAGTAAAAAGTAATGTCAGAGCTGGAATGTGCCTGGCTTTGGATCTAATGTTCTTCTCTGCTCCCATTTCTCACAGTGGCCTTTCAATGATCTCACAGGGAGTGTGGCAGGAATGAACAGTGCTCTGTGGTAATGGTTCTTTACATGCTACACACACCCTGGGAAGGTGTGAGCTAACTTCTAGCTACTCATGGTTACTTTTCTGAAGGCATTCTACCCCGTAGAGGAGAGAAAATTGTAGTAAATGGATGCATGCACATAGGATTATAAGGAGTCCCACGTGAACTTGAGGGAGCAGACATATTTACAGCTGGACGCTTATCTCTTATTTAACGACAAATAACCAGGACTATCTCACAAAGGATTGACCAGGCGCTTCAGTCTCAGATCACCGCTGTAGAAGAGTTGGAGCATGAGAGCCATCAAGAGATGGGGGAAAAACTGGGCCACCGCTTTCTTGTAAGAAGCAATAGGCAGCAGCGTGCACAGGGCCTGAGATGCCTATCAGGGGAAGAAAAAGGAGGGAAGAATGTCAACAGCTTCCTCTAAACCCAGTCAGCCTTACTCAGGGAGAAGGGGAGTGACTCTGCAACCCTTCCCCCGGCCTCCTTGAAGACAGCCTGAAGCATGCATGCATATCCACAATAACTGCCACCAAGTCAGTCGTGAACCAGGAACTGTGCCAAGCATTCAGTGGCAAGAGGCTTCCAAAGTGCTGAAAAAAAACCCTGGCTGCTGAACCAGTGGGAAGCAAACTGGTTCCCAAGGAGGCATCCATCCTAAGTTCTCTTCCTATGTGGCAATGAAGAGTAGTACTACTAATAACCTAGGTCTTCCTCGTGCTGAAACAATAAAGGGAAATGAGGTGAGCCAGGTCACCAACAGATTGGTGTACTGATTGCTGCAAACCCCACCATATTTGAAATACAGGTTTGGCCATAGTCCTAAAAGACAATCCCAATTGCCATAATCCCAAGTATTGAAATCCTGAAAGATCCAAATCCTAAAAATCTAATTCTGGAAAAAACAATTTAGAAATTCTTTAAAAGACATTTATTTACATTTTTAAAGGGAGATTTATTTCAAAAAACATATAAAAACATGACAGAACACTTCATAGGCTACTTAACATAATAAAATAAATAATAATAACATATTTTTGCTGGCTTCTTCAGGCAAAAGTGGCTTTAATTTCTAGAATTTCATCAGCCAATGCAAACAAATGACACATTTTTAAATCGAAGTTTTCATCATTGCCATATTACTTGGCCAATCCACTCATCTGAATTTTCCTCCAAATGCATTGGGTTGAATGAAAAAAAAACAAACTTTATTGATAACTTTTAGAAGCAGTGATTGCACCTAATTCTAAATCTGTCATTATAGCTTGGGGGATTCAGTTACACATTAGAGATACTTTAGGGATTTTGATCTTTGGGGATTTCAGCATTCAAGATTATGGTGTTTGTGGTTGTGCCTTTTGGGATTGTAATTGGCACTGCAGAAAAACACGTTCCAACACCTGATGTTTGTGAAGCAATGCCACTTTTTTCTACTAAATCTCTGCGAGACCTGAATTTACTCCCAGGAGTGGTGATTTTGGTGCTTGGGAGATATATAAAGGTGGACACAAATGAGATTAGGCTTCACATGTCTACAGAAGTCTATATGATCTAGCTGGTGGCTACTTCTCTCATATTATGCCCTATTCTATCACCCTCAATTCACTCAGAGTCTTTGGCCTCCTTGTATTCACTGACATACTAGGTAAAGCCCCATCAGTAGAGGGCTTTTGCCCTTCTCTCTGTTTAAAACTCTCCATCCCAGGTATGCTCAAGGATCACACCCTCACCTGATTCAGGTCTCTGATTAGATGTCACCTCAGCAGAGAGACCTGCCCTGAACAACTTACCTAAACCTTGTCTGTCACTTTACATCCCCCACGCCACTTTATATCTCTTTTAAGCTTCATACCATATGACATACAACACATTTATTCGTTCATTGTCTGTGTCTCCTACACAAATATAAGCTCCATGATCAGGGTGTAGCACATAGTAGGCACTCAATAATATGTGTTGGAAGAATGGATGCAAGGGAGGAGGACTACGGTAGGAAAGTATGACTGAGTCTGTGGTTAGGTAGGGATTTTCAGGAGCAGGAAAACAATGCCAAAAAGAAGAAGTCCCCACCGTCCTACTTACCACCACGGGCATCATGTTGGTAACATCGAGAGAGGAACGTCTTCTTTCCATTAAGTTTTCTTGCCTTTCCCCAGGCTTTCCTTTCAGCACCAACAAGATTGTCTTCAGCACGTGAGGGGCCACTTTTGCTTCAGAACCTGCCGCCTGCCACATCAGTGTGAGAGTGCTGCAAACACAGCCCCACCCCCCAAAATGGGAGTCATAAGTTTGTTGTTTTCTACTCGATACAGTGACATGTATCAGAAAAAGAGTGTTGGTTTTTTATCTTTGTATAGCAAAGACATTGCAGACAAATCCAAAACAAACAGAGATTCCCATTTCCAAATGACATTGTATGTCTCTCATCCTCAAAAACAGAGGAAGAATTTAAACAAAATTTAATGGAAGATACAGTCTACAAGAGCCTACTGCTGCTTAAATATCTATTCAGCTCAATTTCAAGAACTGATCAGCTTTCTGTAACCCATACTCTCTCTGCTCCTCCCACCTTCTTACCTTGTTTGCTCAGGCATGATAGAATATTTAAAAACTGGTGTGGGAATGCAAATTAATATATAGATCAATATATAAGTAAAAAAGTTTTAAAGCCCTAAATAAATAAAAAACTAAATAAATGAAATATAAAAATAAAAAACACTGAGCTCAGAGGAGTGAACCATTTTGCCAAATGTCACAGATTTAATTAGTGAAACAGATGAGACTAGAATGCTGGCTTCTCGACCTCTAGTGTCCAAGCTCTTTTTCCTATATGCTCAGCCACTCTTTAGGATTATTCTCACTATTGCTCATCTCAACAAACTGCTGTACACCTCTGTGCCAGTATATTTCTGATACTTTGTCAATCCGTGCTGGGTTCTGAAGCCTATTGCTCAGTCTCTCTGCATTTGGGTTCCTCCTATGGGGACCTGATTCCCTGGAACACGGACATATCCTGCTCTGTAGGACCCGTTACCCAACTGCTTCTGCCTGGAGGACTCACTTTTAGAACCACAAGGACATCGAATCCCATGTGCCCTGTCTCATTCTCTTAACTCTCGTTCATACCTTCTGGATGATCAATTCTTCCACGTTTCTCTGGTTTACTTTAATTCCAAATCCTGGCTCTTTCTACTCCAGTCCTCACCTACAATTAGACCTGCTGGTGACTTTTTAAATTAAGTTCACGTAACTTGAATCATGCCCGCTTCCTGTACCTTCCTGGCACATATTGTTTGTACTGGATCCATTGGCAACTCTATCCTCTATCCACGCGGGTACACACCCTCTCCTCAATGCAATGCTGGAGGGCCAGTGATGCTTTCCACATGGCGGGTACTTAGTTCCAGAAAGAGAAAACACTGAGCCTTAAGATATTCTCTCCAGGAATTTTATGAATCATAAAGTACTTTGTGAGTTAAAGCCTCCTAAATAAATGTAAACTTTCAGTCAGAAAAAGAAAGTTATATGATTTATTTAGAACTTAGCTGATTTCAATGCCATTTCACAGACATGAACTCATTAGCCTGTATAACTATAACAGTAGCAGTGGCTACATCTTAAAGCTAACTAATAACTCTTTCTTTTACAATGCCTAATTGTGTGCTGGCTTAAGGATTCCAGGAACTGGCCTTGAGGAACTAAGTATAGAACCAAGATTGCAGGACTCCCTCATGGAGGCAAATACTGAGCAGTTAACCTTCAATTCTGCTGTGGTCTAGCTGAAACCAGCCAGACTGCCAGATGGCCCACGATTCAAGATAATCATCAGAACAAAATATGCTGACCTGCACAGTTTCCCAAAACTCCTTCCCTTTAGAACCCTTCAGCCAGCCTCAGGAATATGAGATGGTCTTTGAGACAATAGTCCACCATCTCCTCAGGGTGCCAGCTCTTGAATAAACCAACTTTTCCTTCTACCAACCCTGGTCTCTCTCAAGTCTGGCTTTTCTGGTGACAGGTGGCCAAACCTGAGTTCATTTACATAACAACTATATATATTTATTTGACATTACATTTATTTATTATACATTTATACAACAACTATATATAGATAGAACTTTCCTCATTTTGTGGATGAGGAAATTGAGCATCAGGGAGTTTTATCAAACTTGCATGGTATCGCACAGAATGTAAGGGTAAAGGTTCATATGAAATCAGATTCATTTGTCTTCAAAGCCTGGGTCCTTTCCATAATATAACTTTCTGTCTTTTACACCTACTATTAGGTTGGTGCAAAAGTAATTGCAGTTTCAGACCCTGAATTTTAAATCGTTATAACTAGGTTAAAACACATCTTTATTAATCAAAATAGGAACCACTACAATCAACCCCTTTTTTGCCAAAGGGAAATAAGTTTGTTTATTCCTGTGTAAAAATCCGTGCTTCGGGATTCGATGAACTTCCGGAAAGCATTTTCTGCATCCTGCTGATTATAGAAACGTTTTCCCTGCAAAAAGTTGTCGAGATGCTTGAAGAAGTGGTAGTCGGTTGGCAAGGGGTCAGGTGAATATGGCGGATGAGGCAAAACTTCGTAGCCCAATTCGTTCAACTTTTGAAGTGTTGGTTGTGCAATGTGAGGTCAGGCATTTTCGTGGAGAAGAATCGGGCCCTTTCTGCTGAGCAGTGCTGGCTGCAGGCGTTGCAGTTTTCAGTGCATCTCATCAATTTGCTGAGCACACTTCTCAGATGTAATGGTTTCACTGGGATTCAGAAAGCCGTAGTGGATCAGACCGGCAGCAGACCCCCAAACAGTGACCATGACCTTTTTTTGGTGTAAGTTTGCCTTTGGGGAGTGCTTTTGAACTTCTCAGTCCAACCACTGAGCTGGTCATAGTGGTTGTCATGTAAAATCCACTTTTTGTTGCATGACACAATCCGATAGAGAAATGTTTTATTGCTGTTGTTGCATACAATAAGAGAACCTGACACTTCAAAACAATGATTTTTTTGGTTTCCAGTCAGGTCATGAGGCACCTACTTATTGAGCTTTCTCACCTTTCCAATTTGCTTCAAATGCTGAATGACTGTAGAATGGTTGACACTGAGTTCTTCAGCAACTTCTCGTGCAGTTGTAAGAGGATCAGCTTCGATGAGTGCTCTCAATTGGTCATTGTCAAGTTCCGATGGCTGGCCATGGAGCTCCTCATTTTCAAGGCTCTCGTCTCCTTTGCAAAACTTCTTGAACCACCACTAAACTGTATGTTTGTTAGCAGTTCCTGGGCCAAATGCGGTTGTTGTTGATGTTGTGAGTTGTCTCTGATGCTTTACAGCCCATTTTGGACTCCGATAAAAAAATTGCTCAAATTTGCTTTTTGTCTAACATCATTTCCACAGTCTAAGATAAATATAAAATAAACATCAAGTAATAAATCATTAACAAAAAAAATAAAGTGAGAAATGTGCATTAAAATGATACATAAGGCCGGGCGCGGTGGCTCACGCCTATAATCCTAGCACTCTGGGAGGCTGAGGCGGGTGGATCATTTGAGCTCAGGGGTTCGAGACCAGCCTGAGCAAGAGTGAGACCCCCATCTCTACTAAAAAAAAAAATAGAAAGAAATTAGCTGGACAAATTAAAAATATACAGAAAAAAATTAGCTGGGCATGGTGGCACAAGCCTGTAGTCCCAGCTACTTGGGAGGCTGAGGCAGAAGGATTGCTTGAGCCCAGGAGTTTGAGGTTGCTGTGAGCTAAGGTGATGCCACGGCACTCTAGCCTGGGCAATGGAGCAAGACTCTGTCTCAATAAATAAATAAATAATATAAAATAAAAAATAAATAAACAAACAACAAAAAATGATACATAACATAACCACATTTATTTAAGAATGTATTCCAAATCAAATGGCAAATTACAACGTTAAAACTGCAATTACTTTTGCACCAACCTAATAGTAGAGAAGCAATACCCACCTCTCCAATGTACAAACTGTAGAAATGGAGTGATGTTATTTTCTAAGCTCTTCTAACATGCCTGTTAGATCATACAGTCCCATAGGCTCAGACAGATAACTTCCAATTATATCCGGGAATTTTTAATGTTTTTTATTTTATTGGTGGGTAGACACATCCTATATCTGTCCTTCATAAATAAGAAAAACACTCGTATGAATTTATTTCCTTGAGAAAAATGACTAAATTCACAAATGGGAATAAAAACCTAGTGTCACTTTGAGGAGAGGTTTGTTTCTGTGGGACATGAAACACAACATAATTTAAAGCCTCAGATAAATATTAGTGACATTGATCATTTCTTATGGGCCTACTGTGTGTCAGGTATTGTATGAGGATATGAGTAATATATATGATGTTATTTAAGCCTTACAATCATCCTACATGAGGCAAAAACAGATTTTCTCTTTCAGAAAAAGAAACCAGTCCTAACCATGATAAATTAAGAATCGAAAAAAAAAAAAAAAAAAGAATTGAGCCGAGATCCATCTGTCATGTGGAGCTTGTGAAAAAACCCTCATGGGAGGGGCAGGGTGTAGGGGGGCCTTACTCGTTTATTGGGACTGGGTAGTCCATAAGTTGAAAGATGACCTTCTTGGGTGAAGTGCGTATCAGCAATGTAATGATCTGTAACATAGCATGCTTCATACAGTGAGAAGAATTTTCACACAATTGCTTATAAATAACATCCACAATCTTAGAAACCTGGAAGAGAAATTTCACAGGTTAACAAGAGTCTCCTATTCCATGGTCACCTCTAAACTAAGGCATTTCTTGGACATAAGAATTCAGTCCTTCTCAGAATAACCAAGGTAGCAATTAACACTCAAATAAGCACTAGCAGAAAGCATATTTATATGTTTGACTACATCATGCAAAATATTTATTTGCATGAGTACTAAATATGTGCATTTATGGATAGTGGGAAAATGCCCCTTTTTAAATAACTTTATGTTAGGAGGGTAGAATTCATTGTATGAGACATATAAGCTCAGTATAGAAAACATAAGAATAATTCAAGTGTTTAAAAAAGAAAATCAAAACAATGGGACAGAATACAATGCAACTACAGTATGATAGGGCAGCCCATAAATCCTTTTTCTTTCAGTCTTTCCTTAGTCATCAATAAGCTGAAGGTACAGAATGTGGGTAGGACATGTTAATGACAAGAAATGAATGAGATGAAAACAGCTGAATTAGTTTTGTGCAGTGTTCCCACTCTTTTGGTAAGAATGAAATGCATGTGCATATGTGAACTACAAAATACAACTGCATTATTTTGGTGATTCTGCATATGAATTAAGTTCTCTTATTTTACATTTATAACTGGCATTGCAGAATATGAATATGTATAGTAAAATTTAGGCTAATAATTTAAAATTTTAGTTGTTTTTTAGTTAGAAAGACATTAAATAGCAAATAAAAACACCATGAAGATGAGAGAGAAAGTATGAAGGAAAAGAAAAAAACTTCATATGCCTGTATATTTAATGACAATTTTTTCCTATGTTGTGAAAAGGAAGGCCCATATTTCATTTTCCACTGAGCCCCACAAATTATGTCGCCAGCCCTACACCAAGCTGAGGAGTCTTGAAAACTTTCCTTAAAGGCTGCACAGGGGATTTCTATTACAGCTGTACTATTTTATTATTAATGTATTTCTTTAACAAATCTAAAGCAAATGTAGCAAAATATTATGATTTAATATGATTGGTAAGTGAATATTTATTATATTATTCTCTAAAATTTTCTGTATGCTTAAAATATTTCACACAAAAAGCCTCATTTTATTAAAGTGATATAATGAACAATGGCAAGAAATATGTACGAAAAGAAGTAGGCATATAACAAAGGCAATAAGTGCACTTTAGAGAGCAAACCCTGTGTTCCCCTGCTCGTTGTCATGTATCTTACCATGATGAGCTTCTGGGCATGGTTTTCCAGAGTCAGTTTCAACAGGGATGCTGCGTCAGATGCAATTTTGTAATCAAAGGCAGAGAGTTTCTTCAGGAGACTCCACACAAAGTCAGTCAGCAAGGAGGGCAGTAAGGTTTGTCCTATTCTCTGCAACCAAAAAAGAGAGTCAAGACATCAGGCCTTACCAACCCCACATAAGAAAGATGGCTAAACTCAGACATTGTGGGGAAGCTCCAGGGCCAGGTGGGGCCCCAAGACTTCTGTGCACTTTATGCACCTTTGCCCTTGAAAATAAGTTGAGAGCTTTTACTCAAATTCAGACAGCAGGCAAAGAGAAGTGATGCTGCATATAAACTCCCAATGCTTCTGCAGACAGGAGTAGACAGGAGCATTCTGCAGAGCAGACAAGCAGAGGGAAAGCTGGAGGGCAGGGGTCACCTCTTTACAAAAGAGAGCTGTCCTCTACTGAATTGGGACAGAGCATTCCAAGGGAGGCTAGAGGAAGCCTTATGAAGTCCCTGGAGAGGAAGGGCTCCTTCCTCTATTAAAAAATATTAAAGTCTCCCCCAGTGCTGGCACTCTGAGGGCAGGCAGTTGCCTTTTTTGGGGTCCATAACCCAGCTGCTGTGGTGTGATATGGTGGTGGGCAGCCCCTTTCCCCCAGCCTGGGGACTCTCATGACAAGCTCTGCCCTTACACAACCTATGGTCAACTAGCCAGGCCCATCTGGATGGGTGAATTCTGAATACTTCCCTAGTTGTGGGAGGCTAACGCCTGTGGGACTTACAGGTGCTGGGGCACAGGTCATACTGGGGCACCACCTCCTCCCCCTAGCCAGCATCTTTCGTGCCGAAAGTGGTAGGCTCCAACCCGGGAGGTCGGGTGAGACAAGAAAAGCCACTTTCCCTCTGGGATTAGCGTGAAGCCATGGGGCCTTGGCACAGATCAATAGTTGACAGCCCAGTGGCTTTGCTTGTCAGACCGATTTAGGTCACCGAGTAGGATCATAACTCTGGGGCTGGATCTCTGCCTCTGGTCAGCTGCCAACAGTGAGGTCCGCAGTCAGGGAACAAAAGTCCCAGAAAGAGGACAAAACAGGCTCCCCAAGTAACCCCCCATGAGGAGCAGCCTCCCAACTGTGGTAGAAGAACCCCAAACAACGTATTAGCACCCCCCCCCAGTGGCAGATCAAGCAACCATTGAAGTGCACACATTCAGGCTGAGTGCAGCAGCTGTGATCTGCCTTGCTCCTACAGAATCTATAGGAACAGAGCCTACACAGGGCGTGTTACTTTCCAAGTGAAAACTGAAAGGTGGGAAACAACGGCGGATCCAGATGGGAGGAACTCAGCGAAAGAACTCTGGAAGTATGAAGACTCAAATGGAAAGCACACCCCCAGAGAGGAGCACCAGTTCTCTAGCAATGGACATTAACCAAATTCAGAACAGTAAAATGACAGAAGAAGAATTTCAAACATGGATTGTAAGAAAACTCAATGATATTCAAGAAAAAATGGATAATCAACACAAAGAAACCACAAAAAAATTCTAGGACTTGGAAGAAAACTTCACTAAAGAAATTGAAATATTAAAGAAAAATCAAACCAAACTCCTGGAAATGAAAAATTTATTTGGGGAACTATAAAACACAGTGGAAAGCCTCAAGAACAGGGTAGATCAAACAGAAGAAAGAATCTCAGAAATTGAGGATAACACCTTCCAATTAAATAAGTCAGTCACAGAGATAGAGCAGAGAAATAAGAGAAAAGAGCAAAGCCTACAAGAAATGTGGGATTATGTGAAGAAGCCTAACCTGAGACTTTTGGGAATTCCTGAAGGTGAAGAAGAAATCATGCAAGGATTGGATAAGCTATTTGAAGATATAATAGAAGAAAATTTCCTAGGCCTGGCTAAAAATCTAGATATCCAGGAACAAGAAGCTCAAAGGACCCCTGGGAGACTCAGTGCAAACAGGAAGACACCAAGACAGGCAGTCATCAGATTGACCAAAATATCCACTAAAGAGGCCCTTCTACAAGCTGTAAGGTGAAAGAAACAAGTAACATACAAAGGAAAGCCCATCCGAATAACGCCAGATTTCTCAACTGAAACCTTACAAGCAAAGAAGACTGGGGCCCCATTCTCACTCTTCTGAAACAGAATAATGCCCAGCCAAGAATCTTGTACCCTGCAAAACTAAGTTTTATATATGAAGGAGAAATAAAGACATTCTCAGATAAGCAAAGACTGAGGAAATTCACCAAGACAAGACCAGCCCTCCAAGAAGTACTCATAAGAAAGTCACACACAGATCAGCACAATAAACACTCAGGAATGCAAAACCACCCAAAGGCTAAAGATCAAAGGCCAGATACCACAATGGCTCAAGAGAGAAAACAAAGCAACAAAGTTCTTCCCAACAGGATGAACAGAAATTTGTCCCACCTATCAGTTCTCTCAATAAATGTGAATGGCTTGAACTCCCCACTCAAGAGACATAGGTTGGCCAAATGGGTAAAAAAAAAAAAATACAAGCCAAGTATCTACTGTCTTCCGGAAACACATCTAACCTGCAAGGATGCATTCAGACTAAAGGTAAAGGGGTGGAAATCAATATTTCAAGCAAATGGAAGCCAAAAGAAGTCTGGAGTGGCAGTTTTGATCTCAAATAACTTAGTTTTTAAATCAACAAAAGTAATGAAAGACAAAGAGGGTCACTATATAATGGTGAAGGGTACAGTTCAACAAGAAGACATAACAATTCTAAATATGTATGCACCCAACTTAGGTGCACCCAGATTCATAAAACAAACTCTACTTGATCTAAACAAATTGATAAATATCAACAACATAATAGCCAGAGACTTCAACACCCGACTGACAGCACAGGACAGATCCTTCAAACAGAAATTAACAAAGAAATAATGGACTTAAACAGAACTCTAGGACAAATGGGCCTGACTGACACTTACAGGACATTCTACCCCAAAACCACTGAATATACGTTCTTC